GATTCTATGATTCTATGATTCTAAGTCTGTAAGTAACCGAATAGGTTCAAACCTCCTTGGGTTTTGCCAGCAATAAGCTCAGTGATGTGTCAGTCAGTGTCAATAACATTCAAAATGTTACTGAGAATAAATAGCAATGAAGCAAAAGGCAATGTCTGCTCTTGGATGACAAAATTTAAAGAAAATAGCTGAAGTGCCCAATCTGGCTGTTGGCAGATCATTGATTTTATGAATTGATGTAAAGCCAATGATCCTGAAGAACAGAGATAAACAGACAGATGTTTCAGGTTTTGTGTCATACCCAGACTGTTCTATGAGTAAACTCATAATATGTTTGTTTTGGGAAAGTTGCCAAAAAACACTAGTTTCTTGAGTATGTGTATAACTTGCATGCAAACCACCCTTCCCAGCAAAGGCTAAAGCTGCAGAGGCAGTTTGATTAAACAATCGATTGTATCTATATGAGCCAAAGGAAGCATAGCTGTGAAAAGAAGCTTGTTTCAACACTCTTAGTATTTGATATTCCTTCTCTGTAATGAGTGCCAAATGGCAGATGTATTTAGATTCTCAAATAGGTAATCATGGCAGCTCTGTCAAAGAAAATTGCCTACCTTCAACACAGTATTGTGCCATCTTGGGTTTTAGCTCTTGTAGATCTTGACATTTGATTTTGATTGTAATGATGATTATCTCCAGCTACAATCTGTCTTTTCATATTAAAAATTTCAAAATGTTTTTGTTAAGCAGACATTTAATTTGTACAATTTTGAAACCTCTTGAAGATTACATATTTGAAGCCATATATTCAAGTCAAAGAAATTGTGAAATAACAGCAAGTAAAAGAGTGAGGAAACTCCTCAGCTCTACTCTTCAAATCTGTATGCTGTAGTAGAGCATGTAGTTACAGGATTTAGATACCGCCTTTATAATAGATTCTTCACCACTATAAAATTAGGCCACAATATGTTGTAGATTAGTCTGGTGCTTAGGACATCTTAGTCTTATCCTCTAGAGTTGTTCTGTGCCCTACGAGTGATTCAGTATGTTACTGACAGAAGAGAAAGAGACGTGAACTTAAATTTAGTGCTACCCAAAACAGAGTTATTAAGTGTTAGGCTTTTAAAATATTCTTTATACTTCATGCAAAGGCTCAATCAGTTTAGATAAATTATTACTTAAATACCGTTTAACCATTCAAACTTCTTCTAAATAAAAGCAAAAGGCAGATCTTCTTTCTTTGGCTTTTGTTTGCTGATTATCAGTCTTGCATTTAAAACTCACTACACTAGGCAATGAGGAACAAATTGCCCGAACTGTTTTAATGAAGTTACGGATTTGCCTCATCCTGACCCATGCACTTCTTCTGAAGTCATGCCTGTACAGCAAAGAGAAGAGGATGGTTGTTCTTCAGGACAGAAGCAAATGTCAGCTGTTGCTGAGGGATCCCTGATGAAATCTCGTGGACTTCTGTGGGGTCAGCTTTCCATTTACAAACTTCTGTCTTTCATTTTTTTTAATGTCTTGCTAGCAAGCATTGGTTGGTTTCTCACATCACCTTCTATACAATGTCATTCAAAGCCCCATCCAGGCTCTAGATCATTTCAGCATGCAGAATTATCTCATATATCTTCCTTTAATTGATTCCTTCTCCTCAGCCTTGAATCATATACTCAAGAAAAAATTAGTTGTGCTGACTGTCATATGTTGTTTAAGTAGTCACTGTGATACGATTAGAGGCCAGAGTTAACAAAGTCTTGCCGTGCACCCCAGAGTCCTACTTTCCAAAACAGACAATAGCCTAAGTCTGCCACTTCTGTCCCTGCGGCCACAGCCACCCTGTGGGTGGGACAGGCTGTCCAAATTGTGGCACATTTTATCCATTTCTGACATCACTAATAAAAAAAAAAAAACCAAAACCATGGAAAATCTGCAGTATAGCAACTTCGCTGGGATTATCAGACATGCGTAAGTGAGGTGAGATGCAAGTACGATCCCTTCTTCAATGAAATGCTGTAGTAGTTATTGGAATACGCTTTATAAAGCATAGATGTTGTGCAGAGTTTGAGCTGACAAAAGGAGTGTAGAGCCTCAATCTGAAGTGGTAACATCCCAAGAACACCAGATGAATTACTCTGCTTAACACATCTCATCTCAAGGATTTTGCCTCAGTAGTCAAGGGCTTGCTATAATTAAAGCTAACTTAAGAAACAGATGGAACAGACTCCACTAAATAATGTAGTAGTAGAGATTGTAATAAGGACTTTCTCCTCTTGAATTAATGTACATCCCATTACTGTTCTTCTGTTATCATATGGTACTTCCCCTCCCTCTGAGTCCCATTAGTCCTGCAGACACTTCCTAACTACATGAACCTGTTATTGATGATGATCAGGACCCATGTGGTGAGGATTGGTTTTGTCCCAAACAAACGAGAACAGCAGATACTTAGAAAATAAAGTCAACTTCTTCATAGTTGGACTTCACTGTATATTAAATGGCCAATTCAAACTCCATCTGAAAACCCATCTGAGGATTTGACTGACCTCTGATATATGTCCAAACCAGTTTTCTCATTTGTATATTTTGGTGTAATCTCCAGATGAATTACACACTAGCAAATAGAAACTTATTATTTTCTATGCTGACCAAGAAAATGAGCTGAAATTTCTTCCACTGAAAGAGGACACAAAGCTGACTTCCTATTCCATGAAAGTCAAACTTTTTTTTAATTTATTTTGTTAATTACACACCAAGCGTGGAGCTTTTTGAGAAAGATGCATTTGATGAAGAAAGAGAGAATCAAAATGCTGCAAACCAGTGCAGTGTATTGATTAGTGGCCTTAGCTAGAGAGGAGAGCCAGGGTCAGATCCCTGCTGCTATTGAATTGTGCACTTGAGTCTCAGTCTCCCATGTGGGAGGCAGGGAGCAGAGGAAAGAAAGAGGAGGAAAAGGAAAGGGAAATAGATAGCTCTAGATAGCTGAAGAAATTTTCATTGAACTAACATGTTCCTTCAATAAATGTTTGCTTTTGCATTTCCCTGGATTTTCTCTGTCCCGCTCAGTCTCAGGTCACTGATCTTCCATGCAGAGGCGAGGACACGGGCAGGGAGCAAGTAGGGGAAGCGTGGGGCAGGGCGGGGAGAAGCCACAGTGAATGGGATCAGGGCAAAGGCAGGACTGTATTGATGTGTTCGTCAGTAGAGACTTACCAAAACCAGATTACCTTTGCTTGAAAGATAAGAAGGAGGAGTAACAGAGTTACCAGGCAAACTGAGAACTCTGATACAACAGCAGATGCATTTAGCATCATGTTCTTTATGTGTCTTGATCAAATATGTAAAGTTTCTACGTTTAATCTGAAGTTTTTAATAGTTTCCTCTTCTACTGCATGAAGTAAACAAGCAAAACCATAAATGAAACTAAGGCACTTTCCTTTTCTTCATTGTTTCAGATGATGGAAAACTGTCCTTTGATGAATTCAAAGCTTACTTTGCTGACGGAATTCTGAGTGGAGAAGAACTGCATGAACTTTTTCACACCATTGATACACACAATACTGAGTAAGCACCCCCTTCTTACAATTACAGTGCTACTCTCTGTACCTGAGAACGGAAAACAGACATAAGGCTGATTTTAGAAAACAAGTCTAAGAAAGATGCATCAGGGAAGCTAGGCTGTGTCATATGATTCTAAACTGTACAAGTGAAGTGTTTCTAAACCTTGTAGAAATATCTGCAAGTTCCAATAAATGTGATTTGGGTACTGAGAACACAGGGTGGAAACTGGATGCCTTCTGTGTTCCTCACCCATGATAGTAAGGAAGAGGGGCTGTGGCCTCCTTCAGGCTTAAATATGAGTTCCTCAATTCTTGATCCCACTTTGCTAATTCATTACATGAGATGAATACTTGGACCAGACGTTGAGCACGGAAAAAAAAAAATGAAGCAATCATATACAGTAAAGAGCAGAAAAAGCCATCCTGTTGGTGCTGGTATGGTAATTGTGTTGGTGCTGTCACTTAGGCTGTTTGGATATCCCCGTTACGGTTGGGCTTAACAAGGCCACAGGGAAATGAGCTGACTTCATGAAGTTCAACAAGGAGAGGTGCAAAGTCCTGCACCTGGGGAGGAACAATCCCATGCACCACTATATGCCGGGGGCTACCCAGCTGGAAAGCAGCTTGGCAGAAAAGGACATGGGGTGGACACCAAGTTGAAGATGAGCTAACAATGTGCCCTTGCAGCAAAGAAGGCAAATGGTATTCTGGGCTGCATTAGACAAAGTATGGCCAGCAGGTCAAGGGAGGTGAGTAATCCTTCCCCTCTACTCAGCCCCAGTAAGGCCACACCTGGAGTGCTGTGTCCAGTTCTGGGCTCTTCAGTAAAAAAGAGGCGTGACATACTGGAGAGAGTCTAATGAAGGGCCACAAAGATCATTAAGGGACTCACGCACCTCACATATGAGGAAAGCTGGGACTGTTTAGCCTGGAGAAGAGAAGGTTCAAGTGGACCTCATCAATGTATATAAATACCTCAAGGGAGGGTGCAAAGAGGAAGGAGCCAGGCTCTTTTCAGTGGTGCCCAGTGGCAGGACCAGAGGCAATGGGCACAAACCCAAACACCCTCTGAACATCAGGAAACACTTTTTCTCTGTGAGGGTGACCAAGCACTGGCACAGCTTGCCCAGAAAGGTTGAGGAGTCTCCATCCTTGGAGATATTCAAAAGCCATCTGGAAACAATCCTGGGTCAACTGGCTGTAGGTGGCCCAGCTTGAGCAGGGGGGTTGGACAAGATGACCTCTAGAGGTCCCTTCCAACCTCATCCATCCTATGATTTTATGACTGAAGAAGAGAATGAATTTCCTTTTTACTTGCTTTCTGGCCATCAGCAGTTATTCACAGCAAGTCTCCCATTTACTGTTAATTAGGAGGGTGTTACTAAGCTAGTGGTTTTTAAATCGGGCTATTCCTGTGGTAGAGAAGGTACTGAGAAGAGGCCGTTTATTGCTTTTGCTAAGAGGCTATGAAGACATGTAGTAATCGTGGCGTGGGTTGTGGTTCTGGTTACGAGGAGCGAGTACACAATAAGTCAGTATTGCTTTTCTCAGCTGCATACAGTGGAGCAACAAGTATTAAGATGCTATCACAGCCCTGCTTCCTATGTTTACTGTAAGAAAAGGTAGGAGCAGTGTAACAGGACCTTATCTCATCCAATGCAAAACTCCACTGTGTCTTTGGGTTTTTTACCTTCCACAGGGAAACAAAACCAACAGGCTATAATTTCGTAATTCATCTACTTCGTAAACATCCAGACACTAACTCACAGTGAAATATTAGTAGCCTTGTTCCTCAGACATGTGAATTTGGCAATCACCTTAATACTTTAGGACTTGCACATTACCCCAGGTAGCTCCAGACAGGCCTTTGCCTTTGGCCAGGTCTTCCTGACGGTGACTCTCGTATGGCTTTTTCTCCTTTGGGTGTCTGTGTCACAGCATCGCACCCCTCCTTGTTCCCCTCTTTCTCAGCTTCTGCCAGTCCTTCTCCGCAAACACCCAGTTGCCATGACAGTTGTGTATCACAAGTCCCAAATGCTGACCCGAGCCCAGGCCCGTCACCCTGGTGGCCTGTCAATGACCAGGCGTGATGCTGGCCATTGACATGTCAACTACCCTGGCAGCAGAAGGCCTGGAAGTCCAGCCGAGGGCTTTTTCGGGAACCATCTTAAAGCTCATTCTTCTGAAGAAGCCTCACTGAAGGCCTTGTGTGCTTGGAAGTTTGTTCATTTTTTCCACCATTATGAGCTAGTCTAATGAATATCTTCTCTCTTCTTAGAAATTTTGCCTCCCTCCAGTCTAGATGGAATTACTAAACCACTTCACCTTTTCCAGAAAGTATGAAGAGAGAAATCAACTGAAGTCTGAAATCTGATCAATATTGTACAAGTGTATGCTAGGGAACATGTATCTCAGTTTATGATCTTTTATGAACAACTTCCAGGAAGATAAACATCAAAATTTTAAAAAAGTTTCTAGGTTTTCATTAGCCAATATACAAATCTTTTTTGTAAAAAATCAATAGTTAAATGAATTCAGATATTAATTATTCGAAGTGTTGCTTCTTTCAAGCCATTTAAATATACAGTCTATATGCAGAACCACATTTCTTTGGTGTCTTAAGAGCTTGGTTGCTTTTTTATAAACATGTATGAAGTACTGTTCATGAGCAGTACTGTCTGTGTGATTATACGGAGCTATGAAATGCCTAATTCATATAAACAGAGGCACCTAATTCATATAAACAGAGGAATATATCCCCTAGGAGTAAATGTCTAAATAACTCTGTGGATTTGTTTTTTAGCTCCGCTCTCACTTATGTTTCTGTAAATCAGGCATAACCTCCCCAGAATTATTAGATTTAAGCCAGCACAAAATGGAAGTATGGAACTGGACTCCTAATCCCAAGGCCATCCTAAAGCATCCAGTAAACCATCCTGTGTTGAAGACTTTTGGTACTAGGATGCAACAAAGACAAGGAAACAGGTTTCCCAGATGTATCATTCTCCTTAACAGACAACATAGAAGAAGCAGCAATATAAACAGGTTATCTCTTATCATAAGAAAAGAAGAGAAGGCTGTCATTATTTCCCTAATTTCCCATATTTCCCTAATTTGTCAAAAGTACTTACATGCTATAAATTCAAAGCAGAAAGTTGCAGAAATACTGCTAAATAAATAGGTACTGTGTGCAGAAGAAATAAGTGTAACATTTTAATTTCCTCAGGTTTCTTAAAATCAGTGGCAAAGACTGAGAAACAAATATGATCTTCAACAAATACAATGCATGCAGTCTACCTAATCCTAGCAAAATTAATCACATGCTTCTTAGAACACCATGGGAATTTGCTTAGCAGATTAAGGGCCTTCACGCAAATTTTTAACCCAGAGTCAAAGACTCATTTTAGAGCCAAAGACTCATTCATACAGCTTTGGACTTCCTCATGAGCATCCTGATAAGGGCAAATATCCTCGATGACTATGTAAGATTTCTAAGAAAAAAAATAGACGTTCTACATCTATTTTTCCTTTCTTTTTATTTGTAAAGCTTTTTTTAATTTGTAAAATATTTTTATTTGTAAATTTTTTATTATTTGTAAACCTTTTTCTCTTTAGCAGAGAATATCTGGACCTGAAAAATATGTAGAAAAAGTGAGAATAACATTACGTTTTTCCTCCTGGGAGATAGGCATACCTGAAGAATAGGTGCAACTGTCGAATGCTACAGTTATTAGCTGAGAACAGGTAATGAAACTCACTGTCCAGGAAAAATCATTCTCACTGTCCAGGAAAAGCCTGGCAAAAAGCAGGGCACAAAAGTCACAGAGAATACGTACCGTGAAGGATCATATTTTCATGTATTTCAGGGAATTGAAGAGGTGGAAGACTGAGAAAAGCTACTAAATTACCTTTTCCAACCAGAACAAAGGGAGCTTTCTATTGGCTGGTTAACATTTGTTGTAGAGTAGAATCTAGATATAGATAATAAGAAAACATGCTTAAAGCTTAGATTTAAAACAGCAACAAGAAGCTTTCTGAGTATGTTTTTTTCACGAAGTCTTTAACTGATAAAAGGCTTAGTGCCTGACTTTACAGCTGAAAAGTATTCTACACCGCTTGATCTTTCTTTTTAACAGAGGCAAATACATTTTAAAGGCTTTCCCTTAGCACCTTTGAAAGCTTTTGAGAACCCTGTCATCAGGCAGGCAGCAAGATGGAGCATGCCAAATATCAGATGGATGTAGCAAAGGAAGACAGCTTGGACAACACAATATAAATTCCTTGTTAGTATAGCTTTCCAGCAAAAATCACATGAAGCAGTTATAATAAGGAGGCAAAACTTTACCCACTGGCATTTGCTGCAAAGGGCAGGTTATGTAAAATGTCTCAAATTAACCAGATGGCTAAGAAAAGTAGCAAAATGTTCATTGAACCTTGGGAAGTTTTGTAATGTAAGCATTAAAAGAATCACGTACGTATCAAACAATCCCCAAACCACCTATTTTGTGATGTTTTCACTTGCACATTACCCAAGGGAATGAAACGAAAATCATGGTTTGTGCCTATAATTCCCAAATAGTTTATGGCTGGTTTTTAGTAGGGGAGGGTGAAAAATTCTACTCAGTTGTGTATCTAGTAGGAGAAGATTTGCACAGATTATTTTGTCTCTCTTACCCAGTTAAAATACAGACTCTGTCAAACTCTGGGCAAATCATTTATCTTCTCTCTGCTTCACTTCTCTATTTACAAAATGCAGACTGTAGTTCCCTCTCCCAGAAATATTTCGTAAGCATTGCAATTATGCGGTGATTTTTTTTTCTTTCGATTTCATAAAATTTACATTACCTTTTTATAACATTTTAAATATTAAATAAATACCAGTAAAGACATGCTGTACAAATTGATTGCCTGTGTTTTTTAACTTCCATTCCTTTTTCCTTTTGATACAGCCAGAAACAAAAGTATAAGTTAATAAATACTAGGTACAACATAGATTAATAATAA